GTTCCCCCACCCCCAGCTTGTACGATGCCCTCCTGTGTCCTGATGCCCTCACGTCCTGTGGGAACACTCACGTATCTCAGCAGGGCCTCCTCGCCGAGGGCGCGAACCAAGCCCTTGGTGTCCATTTGCCCCAGCCGGAGCACGTAAAGGGGCCGCCCGTCTGCAGAGGGGAAGGAAACAGATGGTCAGCAACAAGGCTACTAAGAACCTTCAGAAGGAAACATGCCCTTGTAGATTCTAGACGAGCCCAAAGCTCTCTCCTGCTCTCAGAAGCAGCAACTGGGGTTGCCAGAAATGGGGTCCCCACATTTTCCAATTGTAAAGGAAAGAAGAGTTCACTGAGAGGCCGCTCAGCTGGGTCCTGGAGAGTGAATGCAGGGGTGATGGGGGCGGGGGCCTGGTGAGCCTCTGGGGGAGGGGAGTCAAGACCCGGGGCGAATACAGGGGTGAGGAGGGGGGTAAGAGGGACCCCCTGGGGCCTAGAGCACTGGCCAGGGATGCGAGTCAGGGCCTGGAGAGCTAATAAAAGCTACAGCTGACCTGGGAAGACACCCGAGACAAAGCCAGAGACAGACAGTGGGGACTGCCCAGGCCTGAAGCGCCTGCTCCCAGCTGGGAGGGAAGGGGTCCTACGGTAAGCCTGCAGGCCTGTCCCCAGAGTCTGTGGTCCATTCTGTCCACTAGCAAGTTCTGAATCGGGAAAGGGGAGCGCGCTTGGACAGGGTGGGGCCTCGTGCAGGGCACTACGTGCGCAGGAGCCAGCCACACCGTCCTTCGGATTTCTCACTGATGCCCTGCCTTGTACGAAGCCGTTTGCTTTCCTCACTCCCCAAAGCACAACTGCAGCTCCCCACTGTTCGTATGTGGGAAGCCTGGCTGATGCTCATGTAGACACCTCGGGGCTCGAGTCCTTGACAAACCCCTTCTCCAGCACTGCCCTGCTGGAAAGACTCCATCCTCACACACGTCAGACCAGACAAGCTTTGAATAGTTCAAAGCAAGCATCCTCTCCCCGAGACGGGCAACGTGGGCCCCTGTGAGAGAACCTAACACAGGCCTTGCTGGGCTGCTCTCTGGGGTAGGCCCAGGTGTGTCCCAAGTGTGGCACTGGCCACCGTGACTTAGGACAGAGAGAGAAAGAAGAAGATCCACCACCAACTTGGTTCAGGAACGGTGAGGGGCACGATGCGCTCACGGGGCCCCCCTTGTTCTCATGGAGGAAGGTCTCCAAGTGTCCTCCTGACCCGCTGAGGGAGCGTGTTGGGCGCCCAGCCTACCTCTGTCGTGGTGGTGCCAGCCCCCTGCGTAGTAGTCCTGAAGGACCTGCGGAGGGCTCCACGTGTCCAGGAGGTAGTCGACCTGGTGCTGCTTCCGCCAGGTCAAAGACTGGCACATGACCTCCCGGGCCTTGTCGATGTTGAAGTCCCGAGCGCGTAGGAACCGAAGAATGTGCTCGTCTTTGGGGATCTGTTCAAAGAGACCATTCCCTAAGCGCCATGGAG